CAAACAAGTGCTCATCCAATGTGTTGACACTAATTAGGTGTGAGTTGTATAGAAGGCATGTGTCCTCCGCTTGGATCACATTCTTGACGGGATTTCGGGTGAACTTATAGCACGAACTCTGGAACTCCTCCCAACCGTTCGGACACGACTGGCATATCACTGGACATAGGGTTCAGAGGTATTAGATTTTGGACATAGGTGTAGATGTTTGGATCAGTTGACAATCAGTGTTCATAAAAACTTTACATAACTTACAAATTAATTATATATTAACGTTATATTAAAAACTAATTTTGTTATTATTTAAAACTAAATTTAGCGCCAATTTATGGGTTAGTTTTATCTCATTAATCATTATTTGTATTATGTTTTTAATTAAATTAACTCTAAATATTCATTTATTATAAGCATGCACAAATAGTTTTATAGTTAAGGTTACGATAAAAAGCTTTTAATTCTCACCACAATTGGTATAATATATCAAAATGATTATTAATATGTAATTAATTGGGCGGACAATCATTTTATTATATGTAAAATTAGTTGAGATTATAATTTGATTTAAAAGTAATTACACTTTAATTACAATAACTTATATAAACATTTGTAAATGGCAATTATTAATATGTAATTAATTGGGCGGACAATCATTTTATTATATGTAAAATTAGTTGAGATTATAATTTGATTTAAAAGTAATTACACTTTAATTACAATAACTTATATAAACATTTGTAAATGGCTTTAAATTAACTTGCTCATATTAAACAAAATGATTAATTATAATGAAATATTAACAAAAACTGCGAAAACAACGCCTTTTTCCGTAACTAATTATTTACATGTTTTACTAAACGTTAATTCAATTATAAAACTTTTGGTTGAGATTACGAATGCATTTAACGTATAATTCTAAATGAGCATGGACATTTGGAAACATGAGCTAGTATAATAAAAACAATTCTAATAATTAAAATAAAAACTCAAACAAATTGTGATGAGATTTCGCCCCAAAACACACTATTGACTAACAGTTAAGGTATTTGTCAAACAAATTGCAGGTATTTTCTCATTACTGTATTACAGGTAACTCTATATACCTGTGTTTCCATTGCCAAACTCAATGCTATACACAGAATATATTTGTGCCTTTTTGACATACATGCTCCCATTTGATTATCATTGTAGTGCTTAAGCTAAAAAGTCTGTAAATACAAGAATTTTTTTTAACGATAAACTGCCCTGCCCATTCGTACTCCATACGCATGTCCTTGGTCACATATTCAAAATAGCAAAACTTTTTCGCATTTTTCCAATTCCTCAGCAATTAATAAATAATTTCCTGTAAATTCATTGATATATTCGGCGTAAACCACATAAACATTTTGCGCCAACACTTCACATACACGTGAATATTGCCTACAATTTGTTCAGTAGTTATCAAAAGTTAGAGATTTTCCGTAATATATGACAAACATTTCAAATCAATTACTTAATACAATAAATGAAATGATTTTATTATAACTTATAAAACAAATGAATAAAAAATACTATTTTTAGTCACAAAGAGATACGAATAAAAGTCAAACTCCAGACATAGTGTGGACAGTCGTGTTGGTGTGGACACGGATGGGATCAGTTGACAGGAGGGCCCATCTTAAAGCTCATGATTTTCCCGAAGCCTCCCCTCCCGTCGTCATAGTCGGTGCGGTACTCATCCCTCACTTGTCCCCCACTCTTACCCCTCCCGTACTGCCGGCCCTCAATGAAACCTGTGTCCCAATCCGTGCGTATAATCCTATCGTCGAGACGCGTGCCGTTCACATAACGCATGGCATTAGCGGCCGACTCTCGGGACAGGTATTCAACGAAACAGAAACCGCACGGAGTCTTCACATTGCGGTCCAAACCGATGATCACTCTTACAATTGGTCCGCATTT